CGTAATCGCGGTTGAGTTTAATCGCGATCGCGTTTAATTGCGATCGCGTTTAATCGCGATCCAGTCGCTGCCATCGACCCCATCGCGTTTGGTCGCGACTCAAGTCGGGAGCTCTCACTGCAAGAATTGAAATTCGCTGAAATTCGCGAATTGCAGCCCGTGGAACTAATTGCTGTTAATTGCAACTCAGGGCGCCCGGTGCGATTCTTGAACCCGATGCGGTGATGGCGATCGACGTGGTGACGGAGATGAGCTGCAATTAATTTTCTCGCCGGCCGAACCTGACCCGAGCGTGGCTGATTGGTTATTGATGATTGTTATTGACGAATTAATTTATTGTTGGGATTAATTGAGCAGGCAGGATGCCGAAGGGACCCCGGCAGCGCCCAGCGGAGCGGTACCGCCTGAAGTACAGCCGGCTGCGGCGGGCGGCGCGGGCGCTGGTCTTCGAGAACGGGGCCCTCTGCGATGAGGTGGCCCGGTTGGAGGCCAAGTGCCTACGGGCACGGGACGAGCGCCGTTTCCTTCTCACCCGGCTCCTCCAACTCCGGGCGATGGCCGGCCCCGAGGAGATCACCGGTGAGGTCACCGGCCGCCGGCCTCGCCGTGGCGGGTCCCGGGCCGATGGGTCAAGAGACGGAGGGAAAGACGGGGCACGGTCAACTGGAGGAAGAGAGGGGTCAAGGCCAACTGGGTCAAGAGATGGAGCGAGGGATGGGGCGCGGTCAACCGGGTCAAGAGACGGGCCAAGAGACGAGCCGAGGCCAACTGGGCCAAGAGATGGACCGAGAGATGAGTCAAGGCCGAGTGCCTCAAGGCCGGTTGGGTCAAGAGATGAGTCAAGGCCAACTGGCTCAAGAGATGGTCCAGGAGACGCGTCAAGGTCCAATGGGGCGAGAGACGGGCCGAGAGACGGTTCAAGGACAGCAGGGCTGAGAGACGGCCCAAGAGATGACTCAAGAGATGGGTTGAGGCCAGCGGGGCCGCGGGACGGCCCAAGAGACGACTTGAGGCCAAACGGGCCGAGAGGCGGCCCCAAGTTGGATGTGCCGCCAGCGGCCATCTTGAGACCACCTGAGGACACCTCCAGCCCGGCTGGGCCACCGGCGGCCATCTTAAGGCCACCCCCCCGCCGGCGCGGTGGGACGTTGACTCTGCCCTTGGCGCTGGGACCTCTGACAGTGCACAGCCTGGGTGTTGGTGGTTTGGGGCCGGGGGCCATCTTGCCCCTGGGCTTCCATAGCACCCGCCTCTTCACCAGCACCCGCCGGCCGGCTCGCCGCTGCCTGTACACCTGCCGGATCGTGGCCGGTCCCCGCTGCGAGATCGTGTCGGAGGATGAGCCTGGGAGGGTGCTGGCGGGACCCACGCCTGATGTCTGCCATGGCCGGCTCCTCCAGGCTCTTGGGGAAGCCGGGGGGCGGGCCCGGGCAATGCCACCGGCCCCTGGTGCTGGCGCCGACTTCTTCGGCCTCACCCACCCCACTGTCCGCCGGCTCCTCCAAGGAGAAGCTGGGGCCTTCCTCCACCCCGAGGACGAGGAGGAAGAAGAGGAGGAGGAGGAGGAGGAGGATGACGACGACGAGGACGATGAAGAGGAGGAGGAGGAAGAAGGGGCCGCCCCAGCCTTTGCCTACGCCGACATCTTCCTTGGCAGCCCCACCGGCTCTGATGAGTGACCCCCCCCACCCCACCCCGTCCCCCAAATAAATGACCCTGCCCTCCGCTGCCACCATGTTTGTTGGGGGGGCGGGGGGGGGCACCTGGGACCTCGCCCCCCATGCCTGGGTTCTCCCAGCCCTCCCCCCTTGGCCACGCCTCTTTGCCTGAAGGGGGTGGGGCCAGAGAAGGGGCTCTTGAGGGTGGTGGTCCCTATGGAGGTGAAGCCATGGTCAAACACAGGGTTTTATTGTCATCGCGGGGATGGGAACAAGATATGGCGGGGGGGGGGGACGTGACCCCAATTGGTGGGGCCACGGTCGCCCCCCCCCATCTCCTATTGGATGTTGTGGTAGAGACGGACGATGTCGGGGCATTCACCAAGGGCCTGGAGGAGGTGCTCCGCCTGCTCCCG